AAAAAAAAACCAACTACATTTTCTTTATCCAGTTTCAGGCTGTTTCCATGTTTTAGCTAATACAAACTGTGCTGCTATGAACATTGATGTGGAAAGTGTTGTCAAACATAACTTGGAGTGAATAATTACTATAGCACATCTGTCCATGAACTGTAACTCAGCTTAAAATAATAATATAGGAGAAAAATGTTGTTTTTGTGTTTTGTATGGGCTACCACTGAGGCCCTGTTGACTTGTACCTGTTTAGAAACACTGCGGGGGCCCTCTCCTCTTGTGGGGCAGCCTGTTTCTGGAAAGATTAGAAACCAGGCTTGAAATTGTTTATGTAAGTCCCCAACCTTGAAGCTATGGAAAGTCTCTTGTTTTGTCATGCAGCTCTGTAACCTCCACTTGAACTTTTTACTCTGTTAAAAGGTATATAAAGGAGGAATTTTCTTAACTCATGGTCAGTCTATAAGGACTCGTTTCCTGAGACTGGCCATTGCCTGGCAAAAAACTTCTTTCTTATTTTACCCAACTCTCCTGATCACTATAAGAACATTTCGACTCCTGATTTGCCACAACAACATGGCTGCACGTATATTGCTGTGGTATGATTCTTTTAATTCTTTTAGGAAGATAACCAGCAAGGCAATAGCTAAATCAAATGGGAGCTCTAGTTCTAGTTCTTTGAGGTATCTCCATACTGATTTCCACAGTGGTTACAGCAGTCTACACCCACCAACAGTGGAGAAGAGTTCCTTTTTTCCCACAGCCCTGTCAGCATTTGTTATTGGTTGATTTCATGATAGCAGCCATTCTTTCTGGGGTGAGGTGGCTGAGATGAGGTGGCTGAGTCTGTATGGACTTGTTTCTGAATATTCTAATCTGTTCCACTGGTCCTCTGGTCTGTTTCTTTGACAGTCTCATGGTGTTTTTAATCACAGTAGCTTTGTAGTATAGTTTCAAGTTGGGGATTGTGATACCCCCTACCTTCTCTTTGTTGCCTAGAACTGCTTTTGCTATTCTAGGTATCTTCATGTTCCAAATGAATTTTTAGATTGTTTTCTCAAGGTCCATGAAGTATGCTGCTGGAATTTCAATTGGGATTGCATTAAATCTATATAGCAGCTTTGGAAGTATGGCCACTTTCACTACAGTGGTTTTTCCTACCCAGGAGCAAGGGATGTTTTTTAATAGCCTCTTCGATCTTATTTCTCAGTGCTATAGTTTTCAGAGTAGAGGTCTTTGATTTCTTTCATTAGGTTGATTCCTAGGTATTTCAGTTTTGGGATGCTATTGTGAAAGGAATTGTTTCTCCACTTCCTCTTTCAGGGAGTCTGTTGCTCATGTACAGGAAAGCTATTGACTTTTGTGTGTTGATCTTTTTTCCAGCTACTTTACTGAATTTGTTTATTAAGTCTAGAAGACTTTTGGTGGAGTACTTAGGGCCTTCTATACAGAGTATCATGTCATCTGCAAATAATGACAATTTGACTTCTTCATTTCCTATCTTTATTTCTTTTATTTCTTTCTCTTGTCTAATTGCTGTGGCTAATGTTTCCAAAACTATACTGAACAGGAGTGTACATCCTGTACAGTAACAGTGTACATCCTTGTCTTCTTCCTGATTTTAGTGTGAAGGATTTCAGTTTTTGACCATTTAGTTTGATGCAAGCTGTTGGTTTTTCATAGACAGCTTTTGTCAGGTTGAGGTAGAGTCCATCTATTCCATTATTTTTTAGGGTATTTATCATAAATCAATGTTGGATTTCAACATGCTTTTTCTGCATCTATTGAGATGATCACATGGTTTTTGTCCTTGGATTTATTGATAAAGTGTATTACATTTATTGATTTGCATGTGTTGAACCATCCTTGCTCCCCTGGGATGAATCCCACTTGGTTGGGGTGTATGATCTTCTTGATGATCTTCTGCATTCTATTTGCCAGTATTATCTTGAGGATTTTTGCATCTATGTTCATTAGTGAAATTGGCCTATAGTTCTCTTTTATGGTTGGGTCTTTCTCTGCTTGGGGATCAAGGGGATGCCTGCTTCCAGGAATGAATTCAGAATTGTTGCTTCCCTTTCAATTTCATTGAAGAGTTTAAACAGTAGTGGCAGTAGTTCCTCTCTAAATGTCTTGTAGAATTCAGCAGTGAAGCCATCAGAAACAGGGCTTTTCTTAGTTTGTAAGTTTTTAATTATGTTTTCAATTTTTTTGATTGATATTGGGTTGTTTAGAATTTCTAAGTCTTCTTCCTTCAACTTGGGTAATTCATATTTATCTAGGAATCTGTCCATTTCTTCTGTGTTGTCCATCTTATTGGTGTACAGGTTCTTGTAGTAGGTATTGATGATCCTCTGGATTTCTGCTGGGTTCATTGTAATTCCATCCTTTTCAATCCTAATTGCATGGATTTGGGCCTTTTCTTTCCCTTTTCTGACAAGGTTGGCTAAGGGTTTGTCCATTTTGTTTATTCTTTTGAAGAATTAACTCTTGGCTTCATTGATTTTTTATATTGTTCTCTTAGTCTCCATTGCATTGATTTCTGCTCTGATGTTTATAATTTCCTCTGTTGTATGAGCTTTGGGTTTGACTTGCTCTTATTTTTCTAGAAGCTTGAGGTTCAGCATCAGGTTGTTTAATTGGGCTCACTCTGTTTTCCTAATATGAGTATTCACCACTATGAATTTCCCTCGTAAGACTGCTTTCATTGTGTCCCATAGATTCTGATATGTTGTATTGTTATTGTCATTTAATTGTAGGAACTGTCTGATTTCTTCTTTAATTTCCTCTGTGACCCATTCATTATTCAGAAGTGTGGTATTCATTTTTCATGTGTTTAGGAAATTCTTGCAGTTTCTTTTGCTATTGATCTTCAATTTCATTACATTATGGTCTGATAATATACAGGGGATAACTTCAGTTCCTTTGCACTTACTTAAACATGTTCTATGAGTGAGTATGTGGTGTATTTTGGAGAATGACCTGTGTGCAACTGAAAAGAATGTGGATTCTGATTTTGTTGGGTGGAACACTCTGTAAATATCTGTTAAGTTCATTTGTTCAAGAGTTTGAATGAGTTCTTGTATTTCTTTGCTTATTTTTTGTCCAGTTGATCTATCTATTTGTGACAGTGGGGTATTGAGGTCCCCCACTTCTATTGTATTAGTGCTTCTTTGATTTTCCATGTCCATTAGTATTTGTTTTATATAGTTGGGTGCACTAGTGTTTGGTGCACATATGTTTATGATTGTCATCTCTTCCTCTTGGATTGTTCCCTTTATAAGGATGTAGTGCCCTTCTTCGTCTCTCTTAATCAGTGTTGGTTTGAAATCCACTGTATCTGCAAAGAGGATAGCTACTCCTGCTTTTTTTTTTGGCTTCCTGTTGCATGGAGTATTGTTTTTCACCCTATAAGTTTACATCTATGAGTTTCTTTTTGAATTAAGTGTATTTCTTGTACTCACCATATTGTTGGATCTTGATTCTTGACTCATTCTGCTAGTCTATTTCTATTGATTGGTGAATTGAGACCATTATTGTTGATGGTTATAACTAATACATATTGACTTATCATTGTCATGACTTTTTCTTTTGGTTGGATTGTCCCCCTTTGCATTTGATTTCTTGTCATGCCCAATGGATTCATTCTGTTGGTATACTTGGGATTGTGAGCCTCATTATCTTTTCCTAGGATATTGTCTAAAATTTTTTGGAGTGCTGGTTTGGTGTTCATGAACTTTCTAAGGTGCTCTTTGTAATGAAAGTGTCTTATTTCTCCATCAATTTTGAAAGAGAGTTTTGCAGGGTACATCAATCTGAGTTGGAAGCTGTTTTCCTTTAGGGGTTGAAATACATCACTCCAACTTCTTCTTTCCTTGAGGGTTTGCATTGAGAAATCTGCTGTGATTCTGATGGGCTTTCCTTCGTATGTGATTTGTTTCTTTTCTCTAACTGTTTGTAGAATTTTGTTCTTCTGTTGGGTATCTGGAATCTTAATTATTATATGTCTATGTGTAGAATTTTTTTTGATCAAAGCTAGGTGGAGTCCTATATACCTCACTTATCTGTATGTCAAGTTCTTTTCCCCTGTTTGGGAAGTTTTCTGCCATCACTTCTGTGAACAGTTTTTTATGTTGTCTTCACTCTCTCCTCTTTCTTCATTGACTCTGATCATTCTTATGTTATTCTTCTTTGCATCATCTAGCTGCTCCTGGATTGATTTCTCATAGTCTCTTACTATTTTTAAGAATTTTTTCTTTTCCTGGTCACTAATTGCAATCTTATATTCTATATTTGAAACTCGGTCCTCACATTGGCTCATTCTGCTGCATAAACTTTCAATGGAGTATTTAATCTCCTGAAAATCTGCTTTCATCTGTTTTATGGGTTCCATTTGTTTCCTATGTTGGAATTCCATCATGTTCCTCAGCTCCTCTATTTTTTTTTATCTGTGTCCACTCTAGATTTATTAATCATGTCTTGCATTATGTGAAAAATCTCTGCTGCTATCTGAGAAATTATTTCTGATTTCATTTCTTCCAGGTCCTCTTTTGTTGCCAGTTCAGTGAGTTCAGGTGGTTGAGTATCAGATTGTTCCATCTGGTTTCCCTTTGGGGTTGCTTTAGATGATCTGGAAGTCTCGTTTTGAGACTTGTTTATGTGTCTTCTCTTTTCAAGGGTGGGGGGATCTGTGCTGCTGGCACCTGCGTGGCTCACCTCCTGGGTGCTGGGGACAGCTCTGTTCCTTGGCCGCTATTACTTTTAAAACTTTAAATATTAGAATCATGATAAAAATATACCTGCAAAAATTTCATCTTTGTTTTCGTAAATGGCCTCAGATCATCTCCACTTAAATTTCAAAGGAAATTTTCATTAGTAATCAAATATATAAAATACAAATACTATACAAAACGTGCTATTTATTCATGTAATTATTCATTAAATATTCTCTGAACACTTGCTATGTATCAAGCAACTTTCAGCATAAATTTTCAAAGCTGTATTTGAACCTTATGATGAGCCATGTGATGGAACCAGTAGTAGCAAAGGACAACTGCTAAAATGGTTAAATACCAAATTCACAGAGAATCCCAAGGCAAATTGAAGAACCTGTAGTTCTCCCACATATAAACATAACTGGTCACTTCACAGCTCTTGAAAATCAGACTAGAAAATAAAATTCACAAGAAATTTGAATACCCTACTTTAGATATAAAATTATGCTAAAGTATTTTAGATAGCTTTTAAAATTAATACATTCATGCTTAAACATAAGACTCCTTCAGCATTCTACTTTGCTTCTTCTTGTTCTTTAATTCCCTTTAAAGCTTAATATATATAGTATAAAAATGATTCTCATGATATTTCCTTTTGTTTCATAGACATCAAGGAGGCCTGTTGCTTACACTCTCAATTTCCTAGAATTTAGAACAGTCATTTTTTTGCCTCTTCAAATTCTTTTCATGGAACACATACAAAATAAATATGAGAAAAGTGTAATTAATTTTCTGTGATTGTTTCTAAATTTCAGTGAAGAATATAATAAGGACATTTTCTAAAGGAAGTATGAAAAGCAGAAAACTATAAATAGTATTATGTTAGGGTGTTTATAAGTTGCCCTCTGCCTTCAAATACATTGATCCCATAAAATTTGCCTTCAAATTAAAATTGATTCTTTCTATCCCCTCTCTTCTCTCCTCCATCATTCCTTCTTCCTTTCTCTTTCACACATGCAGAGTAGTTTTTAGTTATTTTATTTAGGACTACATATTGAATTCTCATGGCATTTCAATATTTATAATAAACTAGAGTTCTCAAGTCATTATGAAAAGAGTTTTCTCCTTGAAATAAGGTATACAAATCTCATTAAAATTCACAATTGTTTTTAATGTCTAGTGCTATGGCTTAAATCTAGATGTCTCTCCAAAGCTTCATGTGCTCATAGGCGGGGTTGGGGTGGGGAGGTAGCTAGATTATGAGGGAGTGATACTGGATTGTGGGTATGATAACTGGATTAATACACCAATTAGTTTATTGTAGTTATGGGTGTAGGTAATGGGAACCCTCATGCTGGGTGTGGGTGGCACCAACCAATGGGCTTGTAGCCTGAATAGAATAAAAAGGGAAAGGAAGGCTCGCTGCTCACTGCTTCCTGTCTGCCACACTATGGACAATTTCTCCCCTGTGATCATCCTCAGCCACGTAGCCACCCTACTATCAACTGAAAACTCTACAAACTGAATTGAAATAAACCTTTCCTCCTTTAAATTGTGAGTGTTGTGTATTTTGTCCTAGCAGTGAGAAAGTAACTAAGGCATCTAGATAGGAGAATATGTTGTGACCTATTCTATCAAGCTTCTCAAATGGCTTATTTTAACTTTCAAAAACATACATAATATACCTAATTTTATAGTCTTATTTAACATTTTATGGTGAAACAGAATAATATTCAAAATAATCATTTGTTTTCTCCTTTTTATAAATTTCAGTCCTTCTGTATTTATTATTAAAATGTAAAGAATTGGTCATTCTCCTTACAGTAATAAACATTTAGTTATAAGCCATCATTGAATTTAGTATTCAAACTTCTGAGAAAATTCTTAAATATTACAATTTTAGATAAAAGCTACACTATTAGCTCAGACTATTATACCATTAAAATTAATCATTTTAATAGTATTTCCCTTTATGGAGTCAGTGTCTATGAATTAGCATGCTACTGGGTACTCTGAAGATAATTTATCTTTGAATTTAATTATGATTTGACTTTAACTGTGAGTTAATAACTTTTAAATGACCTTGAATGTTTTATTACTATTTCATCTATAAGATTAAATATTATGCTACTTCAGGATAGCATCAAAATGCATAACATATAACCTGCCAATTGCTAACAGTTTCCAGCAGGGCTACACATCACATCTCTTAAAACTCACTTTGCAGGGTGAGATGACAGGCTGCAATCAGACTTGCCCTTAGTACAAGTCCTTAACCCAAAGGACTTGCTCATCCTAGATTCTTGCCCAATTCCAACCTAAGTCTTCCTGTGAGTATACCAGGGGTTCTGCTAAAGTTGCCTGGAGCTTGCTTTCAGGTCTTCTGTGGGCCACTCCTCGATCCAGTCCTCCTGAGAGCAGACCTCTGCAGGTGTGCAAAATGAGACCTGACAAGGTGGGCAACAGTCTGATTCACCCAGCCATCTGTGATGCCCAAAAATGCATCCGAGGTCCCCCTCAGGGCAGGACAGGCCATGAGCAAAGGCCGCCACAGAGCTTAGGAGCCCTGAGAAATCAAAGCACTGGAAATATAAAACCTGCTCTTCAAGTTTTCATCAAGGAGATTTGTCAAAGTAAGGGGTCAGAGCAAATTTTATTTTAAAGAATGTTAGCTTGGCTGTTATTTTACATGTTTATATTATGGCTTCTCAGGAGTTCCGCTATTAACATTTGGACAGACTCACTCTTTGTTGTAGGAGACTGTCTTGTGCAAACTACAAAATCTTCAAATTCTTCTCTATTGTCTATTGTTTGGTTATTATCCACATAAAATTCATGTTTTAGGTTAAAATAGTGAATGATATCAATTTTATATAGTACAACATAATGATTTCTCTAAAAGCAGGGAAATTTAACCTTGAAATTACTGTCATTTGAGCCAAATAATTCTTTGTTCTGAGGGTCTGTCTCGTGCACAACAGAATGTAGAGGCAATCGCATTCTCTACCAAGTAGATTCTGTAGTACTGCTTCCCATGCCATCTGTGACAAGCACGTCCCCAGACAGCCAAGTGCTTCAAAAGGTGCAAAATGGTACCCAGTTGGTAACTACTGCCTAAAATCAACTGATCCAGAATAAAAGTTAAAAGTTAAAAGATTAAACTGGAAGTTTCATCTACAGATCCGTAAGTTTTAACACACAGAGGCAAAGCAAATCCATTCATGGACTAAGTCATTCTCTCCTATTGGGAGGCCGCTAAGTTTCTGGCACAGCACAAGGCACAAGGGCACATTTTTAAGCAGAGGAAACATTGTCACCCACTTTGCTATTGTTTCTTCACTTCAATATCTTCTTTCTTAATTTTCTATCTTCCTTGTCAGTTCCAGTGAAAATTGAAATAGGCTTTAAGATACCAAGACCACAATAAAATAAAGAGGGTCCCTGAAAAACTTCCATTTGTAAAACAAAGAGAACCTGCCTGCAATTGAAATACTTTTTTATTTCCTGTACAGGTGCCAGGCCTTGAGCAGACACCCAATTTATTACTCTGTCAAGTGACTTATTAAGGTTGACACAAATCGAGCTGAAATAAGCCCGTCAGGCTACAGTCAAGCCCTCTTTTTTTTCACACTTTAGCACAAAGCCAAATTTTCCTCAAGGTGAAGGAAAAGAGGGGAGAAGCTGTGGGAGTTGTATTCCCTGCTTTCTATCAGCAAGTTGAATATGATCCTCTTCCATTATACAATCTAAAGAATAACTATGCAGTGCCCACAACTAAAAACAATTCACCAATGACATACAGCTGGGAAATGATTATCAAGATCGGGAAAGCCCTTGATTGCAGGAAATAGCACCTACATTTTCAAAAATGTCCCACCAGAACTTGACTCATAAACCTGACTCCTTCCTCTTTCTCTTCACAAGTCCCTCTTTTGACCCCCAAACCTGCATATGACTCCGTGCTCTGGAATTCACACTTCAAATCCCTAAACCACTTCTCCTGGGCAGAGGCATATAAAATATCTATGTGTAGGACATGTGTAGGACACATTATCACTTGGAGTTGGAATATTGGGTAGCATGTGTCTTGGAATATTACAAATATAGATTCCTTTGGTGTGTTAACTTTGTTTGTGAGACCAAGAACATGATCTGAATGTAAACAGATATTAGAACCCTCTGATTAACCACCTATGTCTGAGCAGGCTTTCCTTCCACTGGTCTATTTACTTCATGAACTCCCCCAAGTAGTGTTTTCCTTGAGTCAGGAGGATATTTTGGCAAGTGAAAGGTAGCATATTGCTCTAATTAGTAAGATAATTTTTATGTGTTTTATACAATATTGTTTCTCATTGCTAGAAATTTGTCCTGTCAAAGTTGAATTACTATTAAAAAAAGTTCAATTACTATAATAAGTTGGTTTGGTATAATAAGCTAAGTTTGGTACTGACCCTGGATGTCTTAAAAATTAAAGCTCAGTTATAAAAAGTTATAAAGCTCAGTCAAAAATAATTTAAAATAAATAATAATTATTTTAAATTATCAATAAATTAGAAAAGATATTATTTGGGGGTTGAAATTACCAATTTATTTTTTTCCAACTCATCTCGCCCTAAATTAACCCATTTCCAAGAGTAGAAACATGACATGGGACCTGTCATCCAGCCTTTCGGTATCTCAAGGTTTAATTCAGAATATGAGAGCATTAGGCAGAATGGACCCTAACATTATCTGGCTTCCCAAATCTCTCATGTCATTAAGAAAACAAATAAAATTTAATGTAATGCTCTCATTAAAACTGTTCAAGTTGCAAAGTAATTTTAAGTGTAAAAAGTAAGTGCCCAGACTCCAAAGCATCTGCCAATTTATACTATTTAAGAACAGTCATAGTTGCTGCACTGTCTTATTTGTCCTAATTATGCAAAGTGTGAAAATATATTAGGCATTTTTATTTCTAGTAATCTTATAAGCCAGGCAATAAATCAATATTTAAAATGAGATCAGTTAAAACTAGCCTTTAAAACTTCAGGAAGTTACAGACAAATGTATATATTGGAACACATATGGAATTTTTTCCGAGAAGTTTTGTTATATACTTATTTCAAAATCTCTTAGAACTGCCTGGGGAACTTGCACTGCCTGTGTGTTAGCTTCTACCACTTTTGCTCCATCTAGTGGAACACTGATTTTTGCTCAGCGGTGAAATACATAATACAATTTCTAACTTCTACAAACAGGTAAAATCTGTACTACTACTTCTTACTGTGAAGTTACATCAGATTCATCAGGAAAATCACTTAATTTAATGTTTTATAACCACCATAAAATCATATATTTTTTGAAGCACAATGAGGTTAAGAAAGATTTTTGGAAGAAATAAATTTACTATATTCTTTGCAGGAAAATGTATTACTCTATTTTATAAGACGTAAGTCCAGAATGGGAAACAATGACACTTACATTTGTTAGGAAAGATTAGTCTCAGAGTGGCCTCTTCTCACAGTCTTTAGCTGAGATAACATCTAATTACTAGGTGTTTGAGGTACAAGTTAAGAGGACATGAAGCACTCTTCCTAGTAAATATAACTAGCAGACCAATTTTTAAATAGATATTTTCCTTCAATGGAGTATTATAAAAATAATTTTATCGGTGAATGAAACATTTAATATAAGTAGTAATGAAGTAATGAATAGGACCAGATGGCACAAACCTGTAATGGCAGCCCTCTGGGAAACTAAGACAGGGGGATCACTCTTTCAAGTGCAGCCCCAACAATTTAGCAACTTCACAAGACCCTGTCTCAAAGTAATAAATAAAGCATGATCTGGGAATGTGGCTCAAACTGAATACTGTGGGTTCAATCACCAGTACTGCTAATAGTAGTAGTAGTAGTAGTAGTAGTAGTAGTAGTAGTAATGTATTATTCTTAGCATTTCATAAATCCACTTATCTCTTATTTGGACAATGAATAATGGCTTCTTAAGGTTATCATCCAAAATAATATGCATGCATTTATTAGAGTCAGTTATTTCCAAAAGCAGTATTGTCTCTGATGCTAATGCTTCATATAAAAACCCAGTACACAATTTTTCTTTATTCTCCAACCCCACCCTAAAGAATAAAAGTATTGTAAAGAAGTTTAATTTCCTCCTCTTTTTTTTTCCGATGAACTAAAATGTTTTGGTGAGGAATGGAAAATTCCATCGCGGGCACGGCCAGTAAAAGTGTGTATATGTATGACTGAATACTGTGGAGCTGACTCCATAGTAAAAATTGGCAGTGACCCATATGTATTAAAAGTGGAGTGTCCCCTCCTTATTTGAGAATTTACCTACTTAAATTATCCCTCCAACCTATTGCAAGTTGATTTATAATCTGCTGTTTCAACAGAATAAATGAACCTATTAAAAACAAACATACTGTAGATATTTGTATGGGGAATAAACTTTCTCTGGGGAGGATGCAATTCATGGAAGCAGAAACATTGGAAGGAAGTAACAAATTGAAGTCCCGGTTTTCTAGTGAAGGATTGGAAATTGAGTTCTGGTTAAACAAGCAGAAAAAAAAATGTGATTATTTTTCACTCGTTAACATTTAAGTCAGTAGCAGGATATGTTGCAAGTTTTACAAGTTTTTTAAGTAGATTTGTTATATATTTTGTTAAATGAAGTTTAATGTTATAGTCATATATGCAAGTAATTGACGTGAAAGCAAATTATTTGCATGATACATTGTATTTAACTATGATAAATAGAAATAATCTGTTATAACTTCAGGGCTAGATTCTCACTAGGCAGGCTGTCTACTGGATTCCAAAAGACCAAAAGAGATGCAGGACTGCCCAGAATCTGGTTCTTAGGACAGATGGACTTTTACTACAGAAAACGCCTCTTCTGTCCAACAGGCTTGTAAAAAAATATAATCTTGTCTACTCTTAATACTTCCCTTACCTAAAGATTTGAAAGATGCAGCATGAAACTTTTCATAATAAATAAACTATTAGTCTTTAAGGTACTTCAACTTTTATGTAATCATGAAATTGAGACTTTCAAATAAACATTGTTTTTGCTCAAAGTCTGCATACAACATTTCCATTACATGAATGGTAAAGTAGAAAAACATGTTCACTTTGATTTCCACTTCTTTGTCAGAAACCACATGCTTATTTAGAATTATTAGCCAAAGAACAGCTATTCACAAACGGATTAACAAATACATTGTACTTTTTTTCTTGCAATTACATATTTTAAGGTTGTGGCAAGTCCCTGTCACTAGTGTAGAAAATGAAGTTAGTCCCTTAGAGAGGACAAGATTAGCGCTGTGTTAATCTACCCCTCAGCTGTTAATGATTTGCACTGGGATTCCCCTTGCTTCTGTGGCTTCAACTGAAATACTTGTTTTAAGTGTTGATGTCAAGTTCCACTTCAAGTTTTTTGCTGAAAGGGGATTGATTGAGTGGAGTAGATCTTGACAATTAGTTCTCCTTTTTAGTTTACACCTGTATTTTTCAGATAGCAAAATTCTTAAATTTTTTTCTAGATGTCACTTTCAAATCGCTTGTTTTGCTAGGATCTTTCAACTAAAAGGACTATGAAGAGTGGAATCCTCTGTAAAAGAAAACAAAACCTATCCACATTTCTTAATTTAAATTTGTTCTTTACACCTACAAAAAGGCACAAAGAAACACTTTACTGTTCTCATTCAAAATACAGTTACAGAAAAATAATCTCCAAATTCAAGTTCATAAACTTTTACCTTTCTTTCAAAGGGTACCGTTGTTAAGTTTGTGTTAGCTTAAGGAGTGTTAGAGTGGTGGGTGACTGGAAGGAACTTCATGTTCTTTTCCTGAAGGACTGAGTTATTTTGTTTTGGTTCTTTCTTTTCCTGCTCTGTTTCTTTATAATTCTCTCTGTCTCTGTCTCTCTCTCTCTCTCTTTCTCTCACTGTCCTTTTGAGATTTTTTTTTTTTAATGAAAGTATGTATTTGACTCTTGTTTTGTGGATAAAGTTCTGTAGTTTTTGTTTTTTTTTTTTTTTGGTACCAGGGATCGAACTCAGGACATTGTGCTTGCAAAGCAAGCACAGCAACACTAAGCTAAAATCCTAGCAAGTTCTGTACTTTTTAAAAGACACACTGCTGAACAGAAATATTGTACTGAGGAGATAGTTTTTATTTCTATATGTTTTAAAACAACAATCTAATTTCACTTGCAACCAAAGTCAAAACTGGAAAAATAAAAGGCTGAAGCATTATCTTAGCTTTGCTAAGTTCTTTAAAAATTCATTCTATGTGAGTAATTTATACCTTTCACACCTCCACTTTCAGGTGCTTCTCAATTATCAAGTGATTTTTTACAGTTGACCAGTCATTTAATTTCCAAAATCCTATAAATTTAACATTCTCAGAATAAGTTACAGAAACCAGTTAGTTTTTGTCAACCAAATCCACATATCCCTTGGTATACTGAATGTATTCATGTTCATTTACATTTGAGGGAAACAAGTAATAGGGAAATTATCTGTAATTTTAAATCCTTGTTTAAGGTAATCTGGAAATTAAGTGGAAATAACTGGAGACATTATCTCCCTCTAACTTTGTCTGTAGTGTTCAACTATACAAGATTTTTTTCAGAGCCATTATTATTAAAATTACTATTCCTAGTATACACATAATAATCTACTTGTCTAGGAGTAAAACTTACTGAGAGACCTTTTAAGGTTTACTTTTATGTATCCAAGCTACCAGTGTATTATAAAAGTATATGAAATTATTTCACCTAGTCTCAGATATCTTTAAATTGTGGTGTAAATTTTAAACAGCTCCACTTTGGTTTCCTACTGGGTGGTTCATAGAAACATTCCAAAGCAATGACGTTTGTGAGAAGCAAAGCTCCCAAAACAGGGAAGGAAGTAAAGGGCTAGAGGCTCAGATGAGAACACTCCCAGCAGCTCAAGATGCAGACTTTTCCGGGGACTCTTCCCCTACCCTCGACCCCTTTGATGAACACTGATATGCTGAAGACACTTTCAATTCAGTCGGTGCTCCTCCTATGCATCACAGTTTCCTCTTTCTGAAAAGCAGATCATTTCTTATTTTCTACTCTTCAGTCTCTTCATTATCCAACTTTATCACCATTGTGATATCATTAGGATTTTTTTATATATATTTACCACTTACCAGACACCGTTCTAGGCATATGAAATAACCCTAAGAGATAAGTATACCTCTTAGCCTCAGTTGCACATAAGCCGGCAGAGAGGGCTAGAGGAAAATAGGTGAGCATCTGAGGATGTGATCATTCAATGTCCGGAGTGACACAGGATTATGCAGGACATAGTAAAGCGGAGGCTAACATAGGGTTGAAAATCAGATGAGGCTCCCTGGAGTGTGTGACTTCTGTTTAAACTGAAGAAATGCACCTGAGGTGGCCAGTGGACAGATTGGATAGCTCTCCAGGTTAATAAATAATGTGTGGCATGAGGGTAAGTACAGGTAGTAGAGTGTGATATAATAAAGAAGACAAAAAGGAACGAGAGAGGAGGGAACGACAGCGAGAGAGACGAAGCTCTCTATAAATTAGGAAAGGAATTCATGCTTTATCCTTAGTGCAACGTGAAAGAGGAAGCGTTTCCACCAGATGCATGTGACAGAAATGTTTGATGGCCAGTGGAGTCATAGTAGAGGTAGGACTAGAAGACATTGGTACTAGGCCAGGGATTTGTGTGACCTATGCTGGAGAATGTCTGGAGCTCAGTGGGCTGTTCTATAAATTGGGTTGGGGTAAAATAAAAATTCCAATAGATAACTAATTCCAATCAGGGCCTGGAGTCACTCGGGTGAAAAATTTAAAAGAGGCAAAGAAACTCTGTAATTAAATAATATTTATGATGATTTTTAAAAAATAAATGCAGAAAAGTGAACGATGAACAAAATAACAATATTTCAAAGACAGGAACTGAATTCTTTTGCAATACACATAGAAATAGATGACTGCCTCATTTAATGGATTCCTTGCCCCTCACACTTGGAAGATTTCTGTTTTCTCATCCACTGATGCTAAACTACTGTTGACCACCTTGGAAGCTGAGCCAGAACACTGGCAGACAGTGATGTTAAAGCACCATGCAACCCATCTGGTGGCTTCCTGATGCAAATCTAACTGACAACATGTTCAAGCACCATCAAGGAAATGAAAAATGGAATTTCCTGGAAAGACAAGTGCAAAGAAGAGATGCTGTTAGGCTCGCTATGAAATTCTCCCACATTTTCCATTTAATCCTTTCATAATTGGTAGTAACAGCAGGAGATGGTATATATTCATCCTAGAGGATCATTGGCCACCTACTGGGCAAAGAAATAAATTATTTTAGATATACACTAAACGTGTTCAATCACTGTTACCCAGCTCAACAATGAAACATAACCACAGGTACAACCATAATCATTGCATAATATCATTGCATAATAATATCATTGTATCAATAGCATAGCAATAATAATATCCTTGCATAATAAAAGTAGAAAAGTTGTGTTCCAAATTCCAGAAAATATATTTAAAATAAGGAACCAGAAATATACCACCCACCCATGACTAATCTCTTCTCTCTAAAAGGATTTCCTCAAGGACACACTCAATTCTAGATTTTATATTAGAATTACTAGAACTACTTCTAATGAGGAAATTAAAACAGTAAAAGCAATTTTCTTCTTAGAGTCTTGGGGAATGGAGTAATTTTGACCTTTGTTTATAACATCATCCCAAGCGGCATTTACTCAGTTTTGATTTTGCTCTATGTAAGAATGAGTACTTTTAGGTCTTCACTACTGATGATTGAGCATTAGATTAAATTTGGAGTTGCAATATAAATAATTATGATCTATGAAGGTATGAGTAACACACATTGTCTTTAAAAATCAAAAATAAAGAACAGTATCAAATGTTGAAAACAATATGTGTTTTACTCACTTGGAAATTGATAATGAGTTTTGAAGTTTTCTAAACTGAACTCCCAAAATGCACTTTCTGATGTCATTTTTTTCTACTTCTGGCTTGAACTAGTAAGAGTTGGAGAAACAACTTTGATTGGGTGGGGAACTTCAGTATTCAAGTTCTAATTCTGGATATTTCCACTTCCAATCCTAGCCAGGAACCAGAAGTGAAAAGTGCCTCTGAACACTTGAGAGTTTCAAAGAGAACTTGGCTCCAGTTCAAACTGAGGAAGTCAGACTTGGACTGCATCAAGCTGCATATCCTTCATTCTGCAGAACTACTCTACCAAATTAAAGAGGAAATACTTTCCTGGAGGTGGACAAGTTAAACATTTTAAAACAAAATTGTTACAAAGTTTACTGAAGTATAACTACCTGACATTGAGTTTCCAGCAGCTAAATTTGCTATCCCATCATGTCCAGGAAAACTCTTAAAAATTTTATTATATTCTACAGTGACATATAAAGGAGGGAATTTATAGATGAAAATGTCTATATTGCATGGAAATTCAATTCAGTATAAATTCTACTTTTGCTTTATGCCTTTAAGAAATTGAATTATTTTTATTAGCATGTAATAATTTAAAGAATGAAAGGGAACAAATCCCCGGGACATACTGAACTACTTATTAGGGAAGGGGATAGACAGCCTCTTTCAATATAGTCTCACACCTTTCTCAGGTAATCAGGAGCCTCTTCTAGGTTTGGAATGAAGTTTCACTGGGCTTCACCATGAAAAACATCATTTGAATGACGTGTGAAACATCCTATTGGGCTTTTGGGTTCTTCATTCTTGCCTTTGTCTGATCCCCAGCTAGAGAGTATTTGTGATTCAGGGGTTGAAGCCAGAGGTGAACAAAGATGATGAGACGTACAGCACAGAAAGCTTTTGTCAAAGACAAAACAAGGCCCAATCCAGGCACAGCCAACAACAGATTCTGTGTGGGGAGAGACAGGAAAACACAAGGACCAAGAGCAAGTTCAGGGTTCAGTGAGCCAAGAAACATGGCATGCGGTGGTGGGGCCGCCCCCAAATCAAAGATACTCAGTGCAGTTTGACTGCAGCTGGGGTAACTGGTCACCACAAACAGAGAAGAAAGAAAAAGAAAAACAACAATTATACCTTAGTAAGCAAAAGGAAAAAAGAGAAAAAGAGGTGATAACCCAGGTGAAAGTCCACTCTGAAAAGTGAGTGGAAGTTCAAGAGTCAAATCACAGGAGAAAAATTAGCTTCTATTTTCATTTTGAAATTTGCAGTGTGTTTAGGTTTATAGTCTCCTTTCCACATCCTATTTTCTGGAGGATTGGGGTGCTCTACATGATAACAACTTGGAAGTAAGTAAGCACTGGTCGTCAGGCTTTTTATTGTCTGTATATTTCTGGATTTGACTCATGTTAACTTTTGAATGTTTGCAAACTAATTTAGGGGCACTTGGATTGCTGTGTAAGTCTGCATCATGTGATGGGACTTGGCGGGCATCACTTCTCTTCTTCCTAGCACTTCTGGGGGACTCCCTGACTGAACAAGCTGCCCAGGTGTCATGGTGAGACCTTATCTCTGTTTTCCAGAAAGAGATTAAATGATTGTACCTTTTAGATAGATGCTAGGGTACTTAATTTTCTGCATCACTAATGAATGTCTGGTGTTAGCCAGAATAGCCTCAGCCATTTACCTAAGACAACTACGATTACCCTTTAGCTACCACTTCAACTTTGAAAAATGTTCACATAGATTTAGTGATGTTATTAATAAACAGTCATGCTAGGGGAAAATGGAAGCTGTAGATAGTCAAAATCTAAAACAAAAATTACCAAAGAAACACAATGAACACTTTGTATAAGTGTAATCAGTTTTGCTAAAAGAGGATATATATGTTTCTAAAAATCACCATACTACACAAAATTGTGCAATAAAATTACAGGACAAATGAGAAAAAAATAGGATTAGAGTACAATAATCAAAACATCATAATTACTCACAAGGATAAAAAAACAAGCAAAGCCTAGTAAAAATGGAGTAAGACATAACATTGCAGTTAAGACATCAGGACATGCTAAGATAAATACGGCCTTTGCATTGAAAAAGGCCTGACACTTGTTTGTGGAAGTAGACTTTGGAAGATTTGCAGGTCTAGAGTTCCTACAGAGTGTTGGGAGACATGTAATTGGCAATCAGCTAGAAAACTGTACACATATATGAATATATGGATGTCGGGGCTCACAACAATTATGTAAACTGAGGACCGTGGTAGTAGTGTGTCTGTGTGTGTGTGTGTGTGCGCGCTCATTTGTGCGTGTATACTCACACTTTGCCTATTCCTAAACCATTCGTGTTTTCAGTTCACCTGGGGACAGTTTTTAAAGTTCAACCAGTGAATTTCACTGACATACTTGACATGAGCAAGGATGAGGGACTCAGACTCTTCATTCATCACACTAAAACAAGTTTCCATTTCAAAGACAAGTGTTAAAATTGTTCTTTCAGACAATTCTCGTTATAGACAAATATGTATGGATACAAGCATTTAACAAAGTGATTATGTTAGGTACAATGTTTTATAACTTGTTCTTAATTGTTTTTGAAGTTATAAATGTGATATATGACAGAAGAAAAAAGAAACCCAAGGAACATAGTAGTTAATAAGATGAAAAGGAAAACTCCCTCCCCCAAATGCAAACACAGATCCCCGCCTTCTAGTTCACAGGGCTTCCTTCTCCTCTGAGTGGGTATTTTGATGCACTATTTTTTTTCCTAGAAAGGACAGTTGCTGTCATTATATAAATACATTTAGACATGCACTTATGGTTTGCTTTTCATAATGGGCCATATTATTATAAGATGTCATTATCATATGGCAACCTTTATCCTTGGAGTTTACAACCTATCAGGAACATTCTTCCATCAGTATACCCAATTATATACTAGATCTGTGGGGTTTTTTAACATAGTTCAGAGGAGTGTGTGTTTGTGTGTATGTGTGTGTGTATGTGTGTGTGTGTGTACTGAGCAGGTAAGCAAAATAACTTTAATATTTAATGTAGAGGAAATTTAATACAAATAACTAGTTACAGAGGTTATGGAAGAAATACAAAGACAAGCAGGAAGAGACAGTCTAGTGATTCACATCAATAGGAAACCACTAGCCAGCTTAAACTGAAGTGTCCAAGGAAAATGTTACATTATTGGACCCCATGGATTGGGATCACTCAGAAAAAGTTGAAACCAACAGGAGGCCTGTGTAGCAGGAGCATGGCCCACTGAGTAGATCCAATTGATGTCAGAAGAGATCCCCAAGGCAAACACTGTGCTCACCTAGCTCCTATGAGTACTTCCCATTAAGCTGAGCTTTGCAATCCCAACTGTACTTGAGAGGAAGCCTAGGAAGGACATTCATTCCGTATACTATATCTAGCAGTGAAAGAACAGGAGAGGAATTGATCTGAAGAAAAATTCTAGCAAGGGCCAGGTCGACATCATTATTTGACTTTCTCCCTTGTGCAATCAAGTGTAATCTTTGATTTTTAACTAATAAATTTGGTGCTGCAATGAATATCGTTGTATAAGAATCTTATACATTTGTGCATATTTTTGTGTTAAACAGACTCCTGGCATTGGACTTAGGTTGCTGAAAAGTGTGTGAAGTTGATGTTGTAGTTGCCAGTACAACAGGTATTGCCAAACTTATTTCCAAAATCAATTTCTTCATCATCTTCTTACTTTCACTGGTGTCTTTTATTATTGGTGTCTTTTATGAATTTTAGCCAACTGACAGATCAAATGATACCTTATTTTAATTTGCATCTCCCTAGTGAGACTGAACATCTTTCAATATATTTATAAACACTGTATTTCTTTAATCCATGATTTATTTAGTAATGTCTTTGGGGCAGGATTGTCATTTATTATACTTCCATATTAATTTATATATACTACTTATATTTTACATATGTATGAGATATGTATATGTTTCTAATACATGTGGAAAGTGTTTTCTATTTTTTTTTGCTAACTGTATGTACTACATAGGATGTTCTATAGCAATTGTAACTTCATGTACAGTATTTTATTTTGTCTTGTTATTTCTGGTTTGGGGTTTTGTTTATGAAAATTTTCCTTTACAGAATTCTATAAAAATAATGTCTTATGATTTCTTGTTTATAGGATTTTGTTGCACCTTCCTTCAATTGTCTGAAATTTACTTTTGTATACAGTGTGAAATAGTTCTTTCACTTTCTGCTTTGTCTGGATGGGTTCCAGTTCCCCCTAAAGCATTAGTCAATATTTTTCATATTCCTCTGAATACCTGGGTTACTTTAGATTTTCCATGCAGCACCACTGATTATTTATTCTTGTGCTACTACCATGTAACCTTGAATACTGTAGCATCTTGATAAATTCTGGTAACTTATAGAAACATTTCTTATTCACCAATTTCATTTTCCAAAAATTAAGAGATATTTCTGTATGTTTGTTTAATAGTAAAGAATACTACTGGCATTTTAACTGTAACTACTTTAAATTTATATATTAATTTCGGAAAAATTAACATCAAGGTCACTCAGTAAATTTTTCTTGAACAAATGGACATAAATCGATACTGTAATAATTTAAACTTAATTATCTTAATGAATTTAAGACTCACTACCAGTTCTTCTATGTCTAAACTCCACTTTTAAGAGGTTTATCTTTTCTTTATACTAGTATAGATGACAAATAGTTTTCTTTTTCTGAATAATTACATATTTTACTATAATTTTATTTTCACTCCATATATGAAGGAAAATCTTACTAATATATAAGCTCTGGTTCAAAAATTGATTTTCTTAATCTTCAATGGAACACTTTGGCTGAAAATCTGTCAGATGAAGCCATGATGGACAGAATAGTGGACACTGAGCCTACACCTTTGAAAGAAATAGGAACTCCAAGATATCTCCAGATCTCTTTCTGTCCAAATATCACTGTCAAATTTTTGGCCAAAGTTCCTTGTAGAGGGGCCCTATTAAGGATCCCTTCTATTGTCTAGTTGAAGTGGAAAAGCTCTGGAGAACCATATATGATTGACAAACTTCTTATGAAATTGCAAGACATGAAGAATCTGTTTATTCACAGTATTCTCACTTACAAATAAATCAACAAAAACAAATCAGAAAGATTTTGAAATGACATTGAAAAATGAAACAAGGATCCTTGGTGATACTATCCAATTTGGAGAAAGAAAACAGTAGCATGAATGAAAACAATTTAATATAAAGTGTGGTCAGCTATAACAGACAATTGTAGTAATGAGGGAGTACCTAATAAATAGAGTTGTAAAAAATATGGGAGTAGCCAATCCAAGGAGCAGCCATGCCCTTGGGGCAAAACTGGAGAGCTGGCTTAAAAGTAGTCTTCCAGACTGCAAAGGGGCAGCACACTCTATACCCAGAGTGTCTTACCTGCAGCTCTTTCCTTCAGTACCAACTGTGGATGTTCAAGGCAAAGCTCCTGGCTGCCCTGCACTATAGGAATGGAAAACTGGAGAATCTACCCATGCTGCAAGACCCTGCCAAATGAACACACAGGAACTGAGCAGGAAAAATCTCTCCTATCAAAGTGTCTGTCCACAGCCCACCCCCAATAAAATCTAACATCATGTCTGCTAGCAAAGAAATATATTTAAAACTCAATTCTATTTCAAGGATCCAGCAAGTGTGAATTTAGAGAGGAGAAAGAATAAATTCACAGCTAGCACAAGACATCAAGCTTTAGTAATTATAAAAAGTCTCCTTCATCAAAGTCTTTTATGTA